GATTAGATTTACAATCGTCAGATCTGAACATTCATAAACGCGACGATACTTCTCAATAATTACAAAATTGCCACTGTGCAATTTAGACTATTACATCATTAACTTATAAAGTTGATCAATGAACATAAATTGGTCTTATAGGTCTCACGAAAAACCCTTGGTTTAACATGAACACAACCATATATATATATATATATATATATATATATATATATATATATGAATGAATGAGTTATATAAAAATGTGAATAGATTGAAAATATGTGTATATGAAGAGATACATGATAGTGTAATTGTCTAATGTACATATTAATAGAAACTCAACAATCATATTAAATCCAAGAAAATAAAAGGATATCGGGTTCATCGGGTTGTGTTGAGTTCAAATAATAATAACCCAATATCAACCCAATACCTACGGTTTGACAATTTTACAACACGATTAGACATTGTGTTGCTTCGGATTGAATTACTTCGTGTTGGGTTGGGTTGGTCGAGTTTTTGAGCACCCCTAATGTCTAGTGTACCAAACACACCCTTCTCGATCATGATACGATTATATACCATTACGCCACAAACCTCGTATCTAGAAAAAAAAAAACTATTGAAGATTAACCCTGTTCAACGAAAAAAATTGTGAACTCATGTTCACACGGTTTATCTGATTAACGATTCGAATAATTAGAAACCGATTAAAAGAAAATCTTAATTTAATTGGTTATTAAGTAGTTTGAGAAAAAAGTTAAAACACAATTAACAAAATCAAGTAAGCCAAAAAAACAATTTATCCAACCAAAAAATACATCAATTTATGTGAACAAAAACCAATACAAAAAGGATGTTTTGTGATTGACCAAAACCACTCATTTTAGGTGTCAACATTATCCAATACCTTACCTTCTGACTTTACATCAATATGCCCGATTTAGAGGGCTTTGTTGAAATTGGTCCCATGCCCATTATGAATCACACCGACCGAAATTCAAATCACGTGATCTTAAAACACAATAAATTATTTGGAGTGTGTTTGGTTTGTAGGAATGAAATGAAATGAAATCGAGGGATTTAGGGACCGTTTACTAAACACTTACTTGGTTATAAGTATTTATCGGATAAATTTCCTCATCAGATGAATATGGGAAGAGTCAAGAATCTTACCGGGTAAGAGCGATGAGAATGATGGAGATTCTTACCTGGTAAGTGAGGATGACGATTATTACCCATGTAAGCGTTTACCCACTAAATTGTTGCATTCGATATGTTTTGATATACTAAAATCTTACACATCAAAATGCATCATAGTGTTGACTCCTATCGGTAACGGCTCCTTAGATTAAAATTCTCCATTCCAAAAGCTTCCTTATCACCTTACCAGGTAAGATTTTAGTGTTGACTCCTATCACTCTACTTACCAGGTAAGATTTTAGTCCACCAATTCGGCAACATATACAACAATTAACCTGGCAAGCGCAACCGTGGTAAGAGTCATCCCCCTCACTTACCGGATAAGACTCTTGTTTCTTGCCTTGCTCTTACTGGATGAGACTTTTGGTTCTTACCATATTCATCGGTAAGACAATGTGACTTGGTAAGCGCTTACCCAAATAAGCGTTTGGTAGACAGCTTCTAAGAGTACTTTATGTTGTAGAGTGGGGTCTAGGCTTAGGTATAGTATTCAATCAAACATTAATTATGTTGTTTGAAATGGAAACTAAATAATTCATCTAAATTGAAATGCGATTTGGATTAAACAGTTTCAGATTATTTGGATTTTAGGATAAACATTATAATAGTCTATTTTTAGGGTATTATATGTCTATATATATAGACATACGATCATGTGAGACCAGTCTTTTTTTTATGAGACCCGTGAGACTACCTAAATAACACTAAATTTTCACAACAAAACATTGTGAATGTAATATTCACAGTGTTTTTACTGTGAAGGTTCATAGTTCTTTTACCTTCATAATATTTTGTTGTAAAGTTTCAAATATTATTTTATTGTCTCATAAAAATAGGTTGGTATCATGTAAACCCAAGTCTATGCTTGTGTGTGTAAACCTTGGAAGGAGAAAAAGAAATACTCTCAAGCACATAGGATACAAGTTTAAGACTAATGAACAAGTTTATATGTTATATATATATATATATATATATATATATATATATATATATATA